TATGCAGCCTGCATGGGAGTTATCCTGCTGATGCTCTGAAGAGGGTGAAGAATCTGGGCAGCCTCAAACAATTTAATGCTCTTTGGGGAACTCGTCTTGCGCCTGCAAATTCCAGTGGCTGAGGGTCTCCCTAGTATGACTTTTCTCTTGCGACTGCCTATCTCATGGTGGCTGAGTAGGTGTTTCAGTGGGTCTGAAAGCAGAATTCCTACTTTAAACTTGGCTTAGGAGGCTTCTCTTGAGTCTGCCTAAAATTCATTTAGTTTTCCTGAGACCCCTCTGTGATGCAGGGGTGAAGCTGCAGGGACTCAGCCCAGTTGTCCTTGCTACCTCAGCCAGTCCTCCATCCCATGGCACAAATGGCAATGAGGTTTTCTACAAACTTTTATCTTACCTTAATATAAGTAGTACCCTGCTTTTGGAGGAACACTAGGCATTGAGTGTGCTATTTGAATATGCAACCGGATTTCAAGACTGCCCTTAGCTGTAGTGGGCGGGTTTTTGAAACAACTCTCTTGTCTGTCTAGTAAGTATTACTGCAGTTGTCGTAGGGGGAAAAAAGGCTGGTGTAATTGTCCTAGCAATTTTCTAATGAAGATAAATTTCATTTTTCACTCATTTTCTCTCCCCTGTGCTGCAATGCTAAGAAAAGCCTTAGAAGATTACAGCGCAAAGAAGCGTTACTGGTGCTCTATATCACCTCTCTTATGTGGAGTTCATAGGAGCTTATACCTAGTTCCTTCAACATGTCCTGGCATTAGCACCGCTCTGTGCTGCAGGCAAAATCTGAACTTCCCATACTTGTTGTCATATGAAGCGTTTGGGAGGCTGTTTGCAGAAAACTGTCACAAAATAGGAAAAAAGTATTGGCTTCACTCTCGTGCATAGGCATCCTCTGATAGTAAGGTGTGGGATTCAGTCTCGTTCTTTGTTGCCTTAACTGAGGGAGTATCTATTCCTACCTATTCCTTCTAATACTTGAAATTCTGTGTATCCATCATTCCCTCTTTGCAAGACTATCTGGTGCTTGCCACTTCCCATTAGCTGTGCGCAGAGAGGCTGTACAGTAGATTGAAAAGTTTCCTATTATTTGCTTTGCTAGTAGCTTCTTATTCCACTGCTTTAAGAGAATCAAGCAAGTGACCTCAGTTTGCCTCACAGCAATTAATTGTCTTAAGATGATTTGTGCATTATTAGCACTAAAACGGTGATATCCTGTAATCTGTTTCAGAGGTATATATTTAACATTGGAAGGATTCTTTTGGGTGCTTGAGCTGAAGGGAAGGGGCTTTTCCTGGAGCCTCTAGTGACAACAGGGGTCTGCATCCAAACTGTGGGGCTGGAGGGAGGCAAGGGGCATTAACCCATTAGCAATAAGGGAGAAGCTCGTCTAAACTGTGGAGTAGGATGCCTCTCTGTCCGTGCATGAGGGTAAGTTCTGTTATGGCGGGTACTTGCTTGGTATCATTGTTCTCTTATTTGGGACAGGACTTTTCAAAAGCGGTAGATTTTTCTTCTTAAACCAGTATTGCAAGCAAACTGTATGTAAGCGTGCTTGTTGATTGAAAAGGGCAACAATCAAACTGCAGTGGTGTGCACAGGTTGTCTGATCGACCGTCGCGTTCTGCAGCAGTTGTTGTTTCCGTATTCGTTACAGTTTGGTGTTAGGACAGCTTTAGCTGTTCCTGAACCTGGAAGAGACGGAGGAGATGGCTGACTATTTGCACAACATAAGCATCATAATATAACTTTTGGTTTTGTAGTTGTTTTTCTATTTTCATTGTAAGTACAGATGGTAGGACAAAATCAAAAGGAGATGTTTCCATTAGAAAGCAAAAGAGGTGAAACAAGTGATCCAAACAGGGTACAGAGTACATGCTGTGGTTCGCTTAAAATATTGTGACTGCTCAGGTTTCATTTGTGCCTCTGCCCAAGTTAATAAAACTGAAATTAGTTATAGGTATGCCTAACCATAACGTAGTGTCAGCGCAGGCCTGTGCAGTGCACCCTCCTGCCCTCTGTGCTGCTCACGAGTGTTGCGTGAAGTGTTGTACAAACAGCTTTTTGTGAACAGTATCAGCTTCCCTCCCCCTAAGTCTTCTTTTTCTCGTGTGAAATTCCTAAACTGTATCTTGAAAAAGTTAGAAGAACTTCAGATGCTTGTTCCAAAAAGTGTATTTAATGGATAAAAACTTCCCTTTTTTTCTCTTCACTTTTTCCACTGCAATGTGATGAAGCAGCAGGCAATGTGGACCTCTTCTGTTACAAAGTCACTTCTGCAGATGTGAAATGGCCTGTTGTTTGGTTGGTTGGTTTTTTTTAAACTCACTGAAAGCCAACGTTTATTAGTTATCTGAAACAGTTTTTACAGAAAGTGTCTGGTTACCAGAAGACAGCTTGAAAAAAGAGAGTGCAGGTGTTTAAGCTTTTTCTTGTTACAGGAAGAGTGGTAACATGGTTCTGCGTATCTCTGCCCGTCTTTCTGCCTTTGCAGCGTTCCTCTTGTTGATTTGCTAGACAGCACAGAGTTGCCAGAAACTTGTGTTGATGATGCTGTGAGCCGTCCAGTTGTTGGCTTGGCAACAGGAGATTCAGAAGAGGCTGTTAGTTGCCCTCATCCTGGCACCAAGGAAACTGCTGCTGAAAAAGTAGACGCTGATCGTAAGCAAACTTACAGATTTTTCCCTATTATCGTGACATGTGGGGTCAAAGTTAGCTGATTGGGTTGTTACGAGGTTGTTTTCTTACAAAATTCCCAAAGTGTTTTAGAAAGCTCCCTTAGATTATATACATAGGACAGTTTTACCCACCACTCAGACAACAAAGTCGGCCAGCTCTCCCTGTTTCAGCTGGAAACAGCTTATTTCCAAGGACAGGGGTACGAAGGAAAAGTCACAGTTCTTCGTGGAATCTGACTTGTGCCACAAGTACAGCAGAGTGAAGTGCAGCCTCCTGAGCAATTAACTCTTGCTGCTTGCTCGTTCACTGCGAGACGGCTGGGTGAATGAACTTGGGGGAGCGCAGTGTTGTGCTTAGGTACCTACAGTCTGTAGGCTCGACAGTTACATTGAAGGTTGAGCAAGTAGCTTTCCCCATCCCTGTGCTTTTTTCCACAACATTAAAACCATATAATTAGTGTCCAGGAAGAATGCAAGTTGCAAGTCAAATTAACTCCACAGTGACATTAGGAAGGTGATCTCTTTTCTGTCTTTTTCAGCATTTGAAGACACGTTCCTAAAACTGAAACAGCTGGAGACAGAGCGCAGCAGCCCCGTGCCAACAGAGCGTCCCAACATAAACATAAACATCCAGGTACTTGGGCTTCATTCCTCCTGGCAGAGTTGCTGCATTTTGTTCAGATCATTCTGAAAATTCTTCCACTTATTTTTGGGTTGTTTGCAAGATTTTTAAGAATATGAGTGAGTAATACTGGGAGATAGTAAAGGAAATACAAATGGTTTGTTATATATAAACCTGTGTGTGACAGGGCAGTGAGATAACGGTGGGAGGCAGAGGTACATGTACATGCAGGCTGCAGCCTGGTGAAATCTTCCAAAATCAATGGAGTAAAAGGCATAAACGCTTGAAATGTTCTTCAGTTGTCTTTTATTTGTAGGTTACTGAGCGTATGGTGTTGTATAGTTCACCCTCTTTTTTGAGGGGGCGAGCTACTTTCCTGCCTGTTTTTTTTCAGTTGCCTCTGGTAACCCTCCCAGAATGTTGTTTTGACATTTTGTTTTGAGTACAGTTTGCTGGTGATCCGTTCCTCCTGTTAAGTAACCAGTTTTTACCTGCTCTCTGACGTAGGTGTTAGTGCTCGGTGTGTTTACATAGAGAGGGGTGATGTGGTTTGATTTAGTGCTCTCATAAATCCATTTGAGCAAATCAGGCTGCATTTCCACAGGTAGCTGAGCCAAAGTACGAGCTTCAGTGCCCTGAGCAGGGCAAGGGCTCTTTTCTCCCTCGCTCCTCTTTGCTCTTCCTTCCCTGGCTTCTTTTTTTTAATGAGCTTTAAAAAATTTGGAATTTCGATTTCCTTTTCTCTGCTTCCCCTGGTGTTAAAGCTTCAGGTGCTTTATTGCATTTTGAACAAGCAGAGTAGCATACCTGGCAGTGTTATCTCTGTTTGTATTACCCTCCCTTGCAGGGAGGCCCAAGGATTTATCTAACTTTCAGTGAAGCAGCTATGATTTTTCTTGCTCCGTCAGTAGTAAAATGAACCAAGTGCCAAGAGAGGTGTTTAGCAGTACATGCTTGGGCTAAGCCTGTTCCTGAGCATTTGTTCCCCCCCTCCACGTGAGAGAAGGCTGCTGCTTTGGCGTGCTTGGTGCTGCAGGCTGTTTGGCTCATGTCCCCTTTAAGGACTGTTGTCAGGGATGCCTTGTGCACCTCTCTGCTTGGTGAGTGCATTACAAAGATTACCAAGTCACTAAGAAGATTAGTCAATAGCCTATAGGCCCTGTTACGCCAAAATGCTGCCTCCACATAAACTAAAGCAAATTAACACAGTTTATTTCAGAATATTTTTGTCTGTTGAGCTCTGTTTTACTTCAGACAGAGAGGGAAAAACATTTAATTGGTTAAATGGAGAGAACAGAGCAAATGTGTCTTAGTGGGTTTTAAATCGTGGCCAATACATAGTAAGCAAGGTAAGATTCCTGTAATGAGCTACTCTAACAAACAGCTGCCAATACAGTACGGTCACAGTTATCCAGCTGCTGTCATATGAGGTGCCGAGTGACTTTGGGTATTAGAGGTTGCAGATGCTGGGGTGGTAGTAACCTGATTAGAGAGGAAGAACATTTGTGTAACCGAGAAGTACCATGATGTATGGATCAACAGTATGCCAGTGCGATTCTTTCTTTTGGGTAAGAGAGAACTGCAGCTTTCAAGAAGGAAGTGCAGGTTGTAGTATGACAACGTAAGAGTAGATAGTGGTTTTCCTCCGGTAAAAGATTGAATAAAGCTTTTCAGCCTGTGATGTAGCTTACTCAAGGTCACTTGAGAGTGTTTGTTTAAAAAAGTAGGCAAAGATTAGAGACTGTCTCTGTATACTTTAAATTCTGTAGCTTCACATTGCAACGACATGTAGGTTACAGTAGCACCAAATGAGCCCACCTGGTTGTGATTAGAGGTGAAGGTTAATGGTTTGGAAACGAGTCCTGAAAAGTGACCTAAGATTAACTATTAAAAACACTTTGTTTCCTGCTTTTGAAGGCTGCTTGAGGAAAAATATAAATTTCCACTTATGGTGTTTGTTATAAAATGTACCAATCATCTCTCCTCCTGCACTTACTTCTGTTTTTAATCAGTTTGTAAAAGAGGTGTTTATGGCATCTTCCTCTGACTGAACTGAATGGGACTGCAATATGTACACTAAAAGCTTGCAGTGAGCTTAGATCCTGGAGCTTGCTGTTATTTCTGATGAATGCAGTGTTCAGTGTTCTCCCTGAAACTGTGTGATTACAAATTTCAGCGATGTCTCATCTCTGTTAAGTTTTACCTTAAGTGCAGGAGACACCTACCTATGTAGAAACAGTTAGAGCACATAAAAGGTTTGGTGAAATGCAGGGGGGGAAAGCGTTAGCTTTCTGCTTATGAAGGCAGGGGTGCATCCTGGACTTCAGAGGTGACACTGTCAAATGCCAATTAACTGCTCATTTCAGCTTTGTTAATTAAAAATCTTTAACTGCTTTCCATCAGGGCTCAGAGATGGCCTGACAGTCATCTTTACATAATTCTATACTTGCAATCAATCAATCTTGATTGATTTCTTTGATAGGGAAATATTTATCTAGCAATCTGTGTTGTTTTAGAGAAGAAGAGAAATCTTTCTAGAATGAGAACAGGGAAGGGGGGAATGAATGGCTTCATTCTTCACCACTGCTCCCTGCCAAAATCTGTTGGAATGGAAGAATGCGACTTTGTCCTTTCCCAGCTTTCCCCAGCACAGTGACCAGATCTGACAAAAGAGAGCAAACAGCTCTTAAATACACCGACGCTCCGCTTTCATCAGCTTCTGAAGTGAAATGAACAATAAAAAGTTCACGCTGTTTGCCTGTATTCGGAGTCTGCTCCAGAAACGCAAAGACGTGAGGGTTTTCTTTTTCTGAACTCATGACCTGTACACATGTAGAAGTTACTCCAAAATGTGCCTGTATTACCCTCCATCTCCCTGCGCAGAGTGATTCTCAGCGGCACCAGGAACGCTGCTCAAAAGCACAAAGGGTTGGGATCACACGCCCTGCTGCTGCCTTTAACCTTTCCTTCCCTTTTTACGTCGCTGCCTAGCTTCCCTATTTTGATTGAAGAAGAAAGTACAAATATAGTTGGTCTAGTACATGGAAACAGTAAGAATTCATAACGAGCTAGAATATTGACAAACCCCAGCAGCTTTACTGTTCTATGCGAACAAACTGAAATGTCTTGTAAATTAGACATCTTGAGGCTTTATCGGGTGCCAGATGCTTTCCCCTCTAGTTACGTGCTCTTTGTATTAAAAAATCCAGTAAAAACCAATGCTTTTTTCAAGCACAAAATAGAAAGTATCAAGCAAAATGTCTCTTTAGTATTGATGGAAATATTTCCTTGGTGGTATAGAACTTATACTTGATTCCATTAAAGTATTTCTTAATAGTACTAAACTTTTCAAAAGTTGGGAATTTAATCACTAATAGACTAGAGTGACCTAATTGAACTGGTTGTTCAGCTGGAGGAAGCTGAGAGGACGATAAACCACATAGCGGTGCCTAAAGCGCCGGTGTACTGGTGTGCTCAGTTAAAGTAATCAAATTTACTATATCACTGATAGTGGAATAATGCATTAGAAATTCAGTGCAGGCGCTGTTATATACAGCATCTGGTTCAGTGAGGTCCAGTGTAAAGACTTAAGGATTATCACAGTTAGGTACTGACTGCAACTGTACAAATAATAATAATTCAGTTTTAAACTATTCCAGAATTCTGGCAATTCCAATAGCTTCTCTAAAATAAAAACAGTTAAATGTTTAATAATTAATTGTTTCGTTAGTCTTCATTAATTATGTGAATATGCTTCTCTTAATATCTGCTAGCAACAGTCATTAGCAACACCGGCTGTTGGTCCTCGCACCTTTTTATGTTGACAGTGAGCCTTGAATATTTTGCAAAGTTCATGGCTGACTGGGGTCAAATTTTTCAAACGGGTTCTCCTTTAGGTAGTCTCCTAAGTTCCTATCTGGATCCCCTGAAAGGTGGCTTAGAGGGAGACAAGAAGAGGAAATGTTTTTCCCCTCTCTAAAGATCAAACACCTAGAAGTTCTCACTAGCGTTTCCAGTGAACAAAGAAAGCTAAAAGGGGATGGAGAGCTGTGCAGGGGACAGGTATTCACCTCTTTAACTTCTCTGCCCTGCTCACTCTCCCTGCGATGGGCTTCCTGCCTTCTGGACGCGCTGCAGTTGGTGCCAGTAGGAGCGCAGCAGGGTTGCGCCTGCTCCGGGGTGAGCGGCAGGAGCGCAGCCCTTGCCTCGGGAAGAGCCTGCCCTAGCCAGGAAAAAGCCGGAGTCTGTCTCCCCCTGCTGAGTCATACCCCAAGAAGAAGGGTCACAAGGTTTAGTTTCCACTCAGTTAATTAACTTATGTCGCTGATCAAATAGCAATTAGTAGACTGAATGCTTAATTAACATTTTATAATTAAGAAATGCAATTCACATAATGAAATAATGAAATATACTGTAGTGAAAGGTATCTCATTTTTCGTTGTCTTCATTATGTCTCTGGCCGCCAGTTTGCTCTGATCTAATCAGTGAGGTAGCTAATAGCCCATTAAACTGTTGTTCTAATTTATAAGTGGATTTTAAGGTAAAAATCTTCCCAACTTGCATTTGAGAGTAAATTATCAACCTAGCTAAGCTATACTGATACGATAGAATACGATGGCTGCTATAGTGATCTCCTGTCAATAAACTAGGCTCCACTTCAGTTCTTCCACGCTGTATTTTTAGCACAGCACTTTGCATCTCTACTTTTAAGCATTGTGCTTTTATAACTTTATGTTTTGCTGTGACTTTACGGCTGAGTTCCAAAATAAAGGAAAAAATTGCTTCTTCATTTCAGTATAAATCTGCTGACTTTCACTCAGAGCCTTGCTGTTGTTCAGAGATGTTCATGAACTTCAGCCCAGACTTCTCCATGTGGGAACTGTTTCTAATAAAGATTTTTTTCACATCTAGGATGAAGTGGTAAAGTTGACTGATAAATGTCTTAACAACGCAATTGAGAGCCCAATCACAGCAGCAACGTGGCTTCCAGCAGATATCAAAAGCAATATCCTGAAGGCCCAGGCAGAAGCAGGACACAAGGTAAATACTCAGCCGATAAGGACTGTGACATTCTCAAATATTTTATTTCTCTTCAGTTGCCTGGTGTTGGGAGAAGGTGCCTTGCAGATAAGGGTACTCCAAGAGCTAAAGTCCAAGGCAGACTAAGAGAGCCTTTTAGCCTTTCTTCACAATAATAGTGGTCCAGTACTGGAATGGTTGCACAAGGACGAATCTCCATCCTTGATGATACTCAGTATGTAACTGGGCAAGGCCCTGGACTGAGTGGTTATTGAGCCAGATAACCTCCAAAGGTTACCTTCTAACCAAGAATTTATTCTATGACTAAGGCTATGCTTCTAGCATGTTCTAGTAAATTCTGTAGCCAATAATGGTATTTTATTCAGCTACATTGCTGAATTATTTTTATTTCTGCACTGAAGTTTTCACACAGAACTGATGTTTTAAGTCCCTGAGCCGCAGATGAACAGCACGCTTTTGTGCTGGGAGGGAGGTGCTCGGCCCTTCTGTGAATCTCAGAACTGACACGAGATGGAAAACAGGTTTCAGAAATTTGTATCTTTGTTCATTTTTTCCTCTCAGGTCATAAGACAAGACAGCCTGACGGGTGTCAAGAATTCCAATATTCAGGATGCTGCTGCCAGGTACTGGATAGATTTGGAAGAAACGTGTGATCTAGTTACCCAAGTACTGCACTGAGAACCCGCAGTTCAGTGTGGTCTTTCAGTGCCTCGGTGACCACTGCGTTTTACCTTGCATAGCGTAGCTTGAGCTGGTGAGTGTGAAGTGGTTTTAAAATGGAAAAGCAGCAAGCGCTCTACTTGCTAAGTGTTACTACACACAAGGTAATCCAGCTACTCTTTATTCTCCTGTACTTTAATTTGATAGGCATTGTTCCAACAGCAGCTTCAATCACTATAGTTACTTCTGACCCAGGAACAACTTCAGTGTGGGGAGAGGGGATGGGTCTGTTCACAGTAGCTGTTTTCTAGTGGAGAAAAAAAAATGTGCACAAAACCCTGACACTGACAGTTGATTTCCTGAGAATCACTGAATTCTCAAGTGATTGCTAGCTCCAGTGGGATTTCAGGCACTGAGAAAGTTGGAGGGTTACATCTAATTTCTTGACCATTTGGTGAAGCTGAGCATGTCAGACCTCAGAGAGCACATGGGGATATTGGATAAAATGCTCACTAAGTGATCTCAAAAATGTGCTGTAACAAGTGATCCATGAAGAGCTTTCCGTGGAAGGTTGTACCTCTGTTTTGGTTTTTGTTGTTTTGTGCCAGGAACATTCTCCCATCAGTCAAAACACAGAGTAGTCCCCCAGCAACCAGTCCAGTATTTCAAGACCCGAGAGAGCTGCTGAAAGCAATCCCTGCCTCAAGCACCTTCGTTCCGTAAGTGACTCAGGAGAAAAGTGTTTCTGGGGTAAGGGAACCACGTGGAGGTTATTGTGAACAGGTATGAAAAGATGAGGAATAGTTGCTGAGCATTTAGGCTACATCTAACTAAGCAGGTTTACCGATACATCTTTAATTACTGTTGCAACAGTTAATCAGTGTAGGCCAGGCCTTGGGGTGAGTATCCTAGCAAGCAGTAAGTGAATCGCTCTTATTTCTTTATTTGCTGAAACGACTGAAATATCTGATGTCCTGCTGCCCCTGGCTCTAAAGAGGAAGATAAGAGGAAGGCAGGGAAGGCTTCAGGTGAATTGGAATCAAGGGCTGAAGAAGCTCCTTTGAGATAGAAGACGTTGATGCTGTTGGGTCTATACACAGCTGTAGCTGAAACTGAGAGAGAGAGCGGTAATCTACGGAGGTAGTTGGAAGTGTTTTTACTTCAGCATACTCACAAACATCAGTCTCTTGTCTGCCTCGCATGGAACTGGTGTCGAGTTTTTGGGGTGAGCTATCAGGGAAGCAGCAGTGTTTCATGCTATCCAGGCAGTGTGCTGATGAGAATGTTTTCTCCTTTCAGTAATGCATTAAATGAGGACAACGCTGCCTCTAACCATGAGGACCTGCTGATTCCAGCTAGTCTGGCTCCAGCTGAGGAGGCTGCTGTTTCAAAGGTATCCCCACCTGCCAGCCTGGAAGGCTTCTGTGTGTCACGTTCTGAGCTACTGATGCCTCCAGGCAAGCACAGCAGACCTTGCTGCATGCCTCTCATAACTCCATGAATACCAGTCGGTGAATGCTAGTGTGTGCTTTCTAGAGCAGATGGAGACACTGTACGGATCTCTCCAAAAGCCATTTCTGAGTGTCCTTTTAGGTTCTTTGCCTGACACTTTTTTTGCTAAATTGATTGTTTTCCTCAGGCTGGTGGGGAGCCCCTTATATCCCAGTGATTTGATGCTCCAGGAAAGAGACTGCAGGGGTGAAATTCTGACATAGGCAATTCCTATCAGAATAACCAGAGGAAAAGTTTAAATTGTAATGTTTAATTGGTGTATTCTGGTTGCCTTAAGGATAAGGTAATTTTTAACTGGACTCCATGAGATGCACGTAGTAATTCAGGGTCAACTTTCCTTTGACCCTCTCCAAAAGAAAAGAGGAGTCCAACGTTGCACTCTGCTTGTTGCTTCAGCAGGCTGAGGGGTTATTCTGGGTCAGTAAAGCACCATGCCCTTTAGCTGTTGTCCCTCTAAACCAGTATTTTGCAGTTGGTCCCACTGAATAATTACCAGTTTAATCTTCTGAGTTCAAATACTCAGCTCACAGACCTCGTTGACCTTCTGACAAAGGGCACAGTACCCCATCTCTGCACAGGAGAATGGGACCACGGCAATGACATTGTTTCCAGTACGTTGATGAGAATAGGTGAAATGAAAAGGTTATTAAAAAAACATCATATGGAAAGATTTGAGAAAACAGACCTGATAAGCAGTTCATTAGGGACACTGATCTATAACTTGGGAAGCCACTGAAGTATTCAGAAGACCTGTCTGGTTATTACTGGGAATTCAATTCAAAACTGATTTATTCCATAGAGCACTCCAGATGACCAGGACGTTTCCTTAACATCATTGACAGAGAATCTAATTGACTTTACAGAAGCCACACCTCGGGTAAACGTATTTCAAAACCAAACTTCTTCCTTCACATGTACAGTGGTTTTTACTCAAGAACTCTCCTCTAGCTTTAATATCCATCCACCAGGCTTGGATCTGCTGCAGTAGGGTGAGGTGGCAATTGACCTGGGTCACTGCATAGATGCTCCCCTGCTTGCAGGGTGGGCGGCACAGGAGTGTAGGACCCTACAGCTTCGTAATGGAAGTGAAGGAACCCGAAGAGTTTACTTGTGTCTGTGCCATAAGAGCCTGTAGTCTTATTTTAGTACGCCTGCAAGTGCCAGCCTGCTTCTTAGGCTTGTGGGTATATACAGTACTTCAGAAATTCTATGTAAGTGTGTATATACGCACACAGACACGTATGTGTGTGTATGTATATATGAAATAAATCCTTGACAAATAAACAGCTGTATGCTGTGTGGGTGCCATCTATCTTGCAGTGTGAAGTCACACCACCTGTAGCTAATCACTAGCACAGTTCAGAGACTAGCGACGGACAAATATCCCAGATCGTTTTGGGAGGCAGTATTGTTCTGGGAGGCAATATTGTTCTGAGGCTGCTCTCAGCTACTTCCAACCTTTTCTAATGAGCGTTTGTTTGCTTTTTGTAGGTGTCTTCCCAGCCAACGATAACACCGAGGTGGATAGTGCCAGTGAGTTATTTTCCATTCCTTAGCAACAACAACAAAAAGGAAAGCTTTTGTTACGGATTAAGAAACAGGAGCTCAAGTGAAATAGTAAAATATAATAATTTGTAATAATTTGAAAGCCCATAAAATAATGTACCAGACCAAAAATAAAGCAAACTCATTCAGCTAGAGTAAATCAAACAACTTGCATATTCTGTTAATATTTAAACTTCGTTTTTGCTGTGTTACATTTCAGGTAAATGCCATAAAGTCTTTACAAGCTTGCGTTTAGTGAAGCCCACCCTGGAACTTGACGAATCTTAGTTTTTACTGTTATAAAAAAATCATATTGAAAAATGAGCTTGTCTTGTCCTGGCAGGTTATTTCAGTTTCCTGTCTCATTCTCCCCAATTCAGACTGGACTGATTCCCAATGGGCCTTTGGGAAATGATGTTGCCTTCGCGATGAAGGCGGTGAAAGGCAGCACGGAGACTCTGTTGTCGTCAGCTGGATTGCCACCATCCCAGCAGACGTCCGAACCCCTTGCAAGGTAAGGTCTCCTCAGCACTCGCTTCAGCAGTCTGTATGGGGTGGAAAGAAAGCACATGCTTTTACTACTTCCACTTAAATATAGTGGTCATTCAGATGCTGTGCCTTGTTTTGCTGTGCTTATGAACTGTAGTTCTGCCTCACTTTATAGCATTTGGAATCTTTATAAACAGAGCAGCTGATGTGTGTATATTTTTATATAACATTGTTTGAAGGGTAGGAAAACATTCGTTCTAATTCAAGTAAGTAAAGGAACAAAGCATACAAATTTAGCTGGAGGTAAACCTGTTGTCATTGTAAGTGCTATAAAATCAGTTCATGCAGTTTCTTTCCTTATCTGCTTACGTTTTAGTACTGCACTAAAATTACAGTACAGATGAATTTTCTGAGAAATCTCTTCTCTGTTTCAGTACCTGTCAGAGGATTGGCAGGGGTGTCCCCCAGTTATTTCCAAGCTATAAGGAAGTCAGAGAACAGAATCTGTAGAAACCTTTCCCCTTGCTGTTCATTCTGCTGCGTTGGTGAGGCAGAGCAATGGCAGCAATGATCCGGCCTTTCAGTGAACCTCTTACAGTGCGGACAGCAGTGCTGCTGCTGCGCTGTGTGAAATGGATTGTTTGCTCTTCTGCAGTTCTCTGCTGGAAAGGTTTTTCCCTTGGTCTCACTAAATTACAAAGGCAGCAGCTGTTAACTCTTTGGAACAATACTCCTTCCTTTCTTTTTTAATCCATCCTAGCAGATCTTTTTGGCAGAGTGTATTTACAGGGCCTCTTTTTCTCCCTTTTAGCCCAGTTACTGAGGATGCTACAGCAAGAACGAAATGTTTACTCACCACTGAACTCTAGAAGAAGGAGCTTCTGCACTTCCCACCTTGTAAAAACTCGAATCTTCTAACATATCTCCGAGGGATCCTTCCAAAAGACTCGCTTGGGATCAAACTCTTGCTGAATGGGAGCCAGCTGGTTTGCTGGGATCCAGGAAGAGACTTCTACATTTCTTGCAATCTAACTGGAATTACAGTCTAAACTGGGATATAGAACCACATGCGTGTTTGATCTCCCTCAGGAGAAGTGAAATACTACACTGGAGCTAGTTCTGAACACGAGGAACAGAATCTAGTTGTGTTCCGCTCACGCTAGTTTTAGTCTTACTCACCCTGTGCTGCCTCTGAAGCGCTGATGGAAGGCGCTCACTGCGACCTTAGCCATGTAGCCTGTGAGCACGGTGTCCCTGACCTCTGTAGGTGGATGTAGGAAAGATTAGGAGAACTTGTAGGGCCACCTTGTGGCCGCACTATGTATGGTGGCTCACAGCAGTGATGACTTTCTATACGGCCAAGGACATTTTCTGTGTGATTATTCCCTCTGTTTTTCCTTTGGTTTACCAGCACATACTCTCCTTTTTGGCCTTAAACCCCTTAATAATCTTTGCACCTCTTGTTACAGTACCTGGAAGGAATGAAAATTCAGTCCATCAGTGGCCAACTGTGTTGACTGGATTTGAGCTGCTCGTTGCAACCAGGAAAAAATCTGCCAAACAGCTTCTAGCATTAGCCAGACTACAGCAGAGGTCCCGCATTTTGACACTGGTTATTTCATTTCCCGTATGACTCAAATACATGCATTTCAGGCTAGAGATGCCTATGTTTTAAATGCTGACGCAGTGAAGGTGTAAGTACAGCTTATTTCAGGGACTGCTTTTTGGTTGGTTTTGTTGTCATATAGGACTAGGAAGGAAAAGAATTTTCTTGTTTCTATTCATACTGTTTCTGGGTGTTGTTTCCAGATGCTGTGCTTTGGGAATACTTACCAGGTATGGTAGCAGCATGAGGGTAGAACTAGATCAGTTCTTAACACCACCATGAATCCTATTCCAAGTGTCATCTAATAGTTGTATGTGGAACAAAGAATAGAAAAAATAAGGTGAAAGCAGGAAAAAAAAAATAATTAACAGTTCCTGTAAGGAGTTCACTTATTTGTAGACGGAGAGTAGGAGCACTTGCGAGAGCATGCTGCACAGAGCTGGTGCTCAGGTGAAGTGCGGGATCCGACAGGGATCATGCGAGTCCTGGGCAGCGGGACCCTCGTGTGGACACGCAGAGGTGAGCGCGCGGCCCCCGGGGGCATCGCCCGTGGTACGGGTCAGTGCGGGGTCGGTGGGCGCGAGACACCCGGTGAGGGACTCCACGTCTCCTAACAGGGAAGCACAGACAAAACAACTGGGATCTGTCTTAGGAAGAGGTTTGCGCGTACAACTGGGGTTGGAGGGTGTTTTCTGCGTAGTGCTGCTGTTTGTAAGTATTTGTATACACGTCGTTCTTGGAAACGATTTTAAATGTGAAAGTTGGTTCTGAAACGTCGTTTCTGCACACCAGCTGCCTGCACGGTTGGGAGTGTAGACAAAAGAGTTGGACCAAACCACTGTGGGTTGGGCAAGTAAGCTGTGCCCAGCTAGGCCGCTTCTTCCAGACTAGGGCGTTCTTACTGCTGCTCCTGTGCTCTTTGCAAGGCGCTCAGGAAGAAAGCCGCGCGGTGTTTACGCGGCGCTGCCACTCCTCCACCCCCCCGAGGCCTTAACAGAGAAACGTAGAAAGCATGGGGAGCAATTAGGACTGACATCCCAGAGCAGCTCCCTGCAGGCAACGATTTGCAGCCATTGCCTCAAGCACCGGGAGTCAAAACTGGTGGCAGGTGCCTCAGGTTCCCCCTCCAGCCAGCACCTAAAGCGCAGCACGGGCCGGCTCCCCGCCCCCCGCGCTGCCGGCCGGCCCGGAGCTGCTCTTCTGGACCAGGTGGAGTGTTCCTGCTCGCCAGCCGTTCCGCTCTGTCCATGCCCCTTCCAGTTGAGTATTGACTTTTTTTTTTTTTTTTAATACATCTAAGTCTGAACCTTATTGCTTATTAAAATGCAGAAGGTTCCCGATTCAAGTATCAAATGTCGTCGTCTGGATTAATAACACAGTTGCCAGCAAAGTTCCTGCAGGAAAAGGGAAGCTATGGCTGCAACAGCCTGCTTCCTGCGCAAAGCCAGGACTGTGTGGGGAAACTTGGCGTTTGCTGTTGATCTGTTTGCTCAGCAGCTGAGCTGGCGTTCGCCAGCTACATGTGTTGGGTTTGTAAATAGACAGAACACGGTAGCGTTTCCTTCAAGGCACGTTTGGTGTTTGCCTCTTCCCATTGGGTTCAGGAGCTCTGCGAACTGGTAGCTTGAATCCCTCCCAAACGTCGAATAGCAAGTTCACGGTCTCACGGCATCGCGTGTCGAATGCCATCCCGAGGTTCCTCCCGAGCGGCGGCATACAGCAAGGAACAGGCAAATGACACGTGTGGTGAGCGCGTCCCCCCGAAACCCACGGGGTTCCGAGCAGCCGGCTGTTAGCGCAGCACGGGCGGGACAGCGGGGATCGGAGGGGGATGTTGTATTTACCAAGTGTGCACACACAAAGGGGTAAGGTTTTCCTCAATTTTCGGAGGACTGATACTTGAAACTTCATGTAAAAGTTCAAAATTTTCAACAGTTGAATTGGGGAATTGAAATTTTTCGTAGATTTGGGGTTGCAAACCCCAAGTTTAATACTTGGAGCAAATACTCACTCCATGTAGCGCCACGCAGCTTATCTGGCTATTCCAAACCTCCGCTGACGCAGGGCGCCTGGCGGGGCTGAGGCGCCAGCGGTGTGCTCTGAACCGACGCACGGGTGGGCATCTGGACAGCCTGCGGTTTTGCATCGCTTTTTGTTCTGCTTTAAAACTGTGGGTATCGTGTTGTATCGTGACTGGCTAACGGGTGACGTAGCATTACTCATCCCCTGCATTTTATCAAACACAAATCGATGTAACAGTTCCTACAGTGGGTGTTACAAAGTATTGATTAATGCTTCTGTGACCCTGAGAAAAAGGGATTTTCTTACCGTTGCTCTACTATGGGTTGATTGGCTGTAAGGTCCAATCATCCTCTAGAAGTTTCTCTTTTGGTATTTTTTCAAAGAGATTTATAAATAGAACTTGTGTGAAGCTGGTGTTGGGACGTTGGCAGGTCTGCCAACCACTTAAAAGCTGCAGGAGTCTGCAGGAATGAATAAATGCACGATCTGTTGCAGTCATTTGGAGAAAGCCAGCTCCCCAATTTAAAAGAAAAAAACCAAAAAAGTAGTTCAGATTTTTCCCCTGACAAAGTTACCCCCCTTGACTTCCTACTATAGAAATCTCAACATTTATAGTAACGAACAAAACCCGGCCCGTATCTCGAACTCGTTAATCCTGGGGAGAGGCCGGACCGCAGAGCTGCGCTCCAGTCCCACCCGCTGACTCCAGCAGGACGAGACCGGAGCCGGTGTGGGCTGAGCGTGGGGCAGCGGCCTCACCGGCTTCTGAAAGGGGCATCGAAGCGCGGGGTCCAGGCCCACCACGCTCAGATTAAGGGAAGCTACTCCTGACTTCAGTGGTAACGGGGTTTAATACTAGGTAAGTCATATGACATGAAATAACAACTTACCTGGTAACCAGTCATGGTTAGTGAATGTATTTGTTTGGAAACTTAAATTCCACGTACGCTTTGTCAAAGACAGCCAGCGGTGTAACGGCTACGTTTTGGGCACAACTTTGGCGAGAAAACGTACAGCAGCATTGAGAGGAGCTCGGGTGAACGGCCCGGTTACATTTGGGTCTCTTTCCACAAACGGTTTTCAGCCCTTGCCTGTTATCCCTTGGGCTGCACCGTGCTCGTTCTCGCTTCCGGATGCCAAGGTGTGCTGCTAAGATCAGCACGTCCTTTGCAGACAGCACTAAGGGTATTTTTCACGTTGTGAACATGCTCTGGTACAACCCAAATCTTCTACGGGTTAAGCGTTAGCAGCTCTCTTCCACGGCCAGCTGGCATTTAAAGCTCCATCACCAAGAGTGTGTGTTAGTCTAGAAAGTTGTAGTGAAACTGTGTAGCTGTTAGACACGGTAACGTCACAGCTCTCAAATGCAGCTGGACAATCGTGACTTTTATACCAAAAAATGAACCCAATCCACGCTAATGGCCTTTCAGTGATGCAGGTGTGATCCGGGTGTGTTTGGTCCGAGCGTGGGTGCTGCAGACGTAAGCACAGGGCCCTCCCCACCCCCCTCAAACAGAGGCAGCGCCGCCGTGATCTTCGTGCCGTTCGGCTGGAGCACTCTGCTGCGTGAACACACCCACACCCCCCGACCTGTAACTGGACAAACTTATTTTTGAAGTATGTAAGAATATTTTTTTAGCTAGATTTTTTTTTTTTTGTTAAAGCCACACTAACTACTGTATTTTTACCTTTTGTATGTAAAGCTTGGTAATAGCTCTCAAAGTGTAATTTATTTGTTGGGTTTTTATAAAGCAAAGTGCACCCTCTTGCTTCTGTTTCACAATAGCGATGTACGAACCGTTTCAGGCGCTGAAACTGTACGTGGGAACAAGAAACTGTGACTTGTAGTCCACTCAGCCCAGTCTTGAAGTGTTTAGACTGTAGCTTTGTCTTAAATATACCACGTCCATGCAAAAGCCTCGCGGAGTCATCTCTAAGCACCGCTGCGTCACGCTGGTGTGGCGGGGACGGGCGGGCGGGGACGTGGGACACGAGCCGTGCGGAGAGGGCCGGTGGGCCACCGCGCCCTGGGAACAGAAGCCAGAGGCACGCAGTAGCCATGTGCTTCGCGTGGAGCGCTGGCTGATCCCCTGCGGGAGGAGCCTCTGGTGCTGCACGGACTCTGCAGGACCGTGGCATTCTGTCCGTCTGCTGAGGCTGCTCCGCAGCTTCTAATTTAAGAGAAGGGTACCTGGGTCGGAGAGAGATTTGTGAACTTAATTGGGAGGTCAAAACTGCAGGCCGTGCTATAAACTTTAATTTGTTGTCAGTTAAAGTGTAACTAAGGATGGCATCCAAGCTTGCAGATAGATGCTGAAGAATTAAACGCCGCCTTTCCCTGAGAGCTGAGATCGTCCTGGGGGGCTGCTGGGCATCCAGCAGTTTTGAAAATCAAAGTACTGAGGTGTGTGCTTAGAAAGAAAGTTTTGAATTTCCAAGTGTAATTCCACAAAACGAAGACAAAAGTGCGTGCCTGTTAGCTGAGCAGTCTTGCTCTGATTTCCCCTAGGGATTGTTTTACGTTTTGAAGTAGAGTGGTGCTAGCCATTGTGTAAAGGAAACTATTTCCAAAGCCTGACTTCGGTGAAATGCTTAAGGTGGTGGCAAAGGGCAACCAAACCATTTGATCGTCTTCGTTCCTCCACAGTTAATAAACTTGGGAAAGTATCAAAAGGAAGTAGAATAATTCTATCCTAATGACAAAAGGAAGTGAAATGATTCCATCCTAGTGACTACGCTCATAGAAAGTCATTTCCCTTGTGGCACAATTTGTTGCGTAGGTCAAACTACGATCCCACTGATAAGCCACTGAATTGTTCTTCAGATCCATTTATAACTCACAATGAGGAAACACGTTTGGTTTAGATTTTTTTTATTATTTTAAAAAATCCTCTTTAAATGTCTACATTTTAAAAGAAAATCCCTCTGCTGTTCATGCATTGTAATGTTCAGAAGCAGAGTGGTAACTGAAGGTGGTTTGCTGAGACAGGCTGATCCATGTGCTCTCTTTTACATCTGATTTATGATACAACAGCGCACCCCATGTCTCAGCTGAGATTACAAGAGAACGCTGCACCCTTTTGCTTTTATTCTATGGATTTGAATTAGAGCGTGGCCACGTCAAATACGTGCAAGCTTCCCTTTTGTTCAGAGACATTTTAGACCAGCTAGCTTCAGCGGCAGCCCCTTCAGCCCGTGCCCGGACGAAAATGGTGTGGCGTTTTGTGTTTCTAAATGGCCGCCGTCAGCTGGGGTGATTCCATTCGTCGGTTCATGCCACCACAGAGCTTTCAGATGGCAGCAGCTTTAGTCACTCACTTGGGCCCGGGATTAATTCTCGTTAACTGCCACAGTTATGGAGAAATGCCACAACTAAGCACGCCCACGAGGGCTCCTCTTCCTCTGTGAAAAGGTGACGGCGTTGGGCAAAAGCGTGCCAGGAAAACGGGAGCAAAACCACTTGAGGCGCTCTGGGAGCCCTGTTAAGTGCAGTTGATCGTGCTGGTTGAGTTTTGAAAGGGACGATGTCCTGGGAAATGGTGTACAGCGGTAGAAGCAAGGAGCACGTGCCTAGGTCTTGGGTACCCGAAATGCAGGTCGTGCGTGCTCGGAAGGGACCGAGGTGCCAGGCAGAGCAGTGCTCCTGCCGCTGCGCAGCGGCCGTGGGATGCAGCCACTCCATCTCTCCAACCCCCTCCCTTCCAGCTTGAGTTCACCCTCGTGTTTGAAAGACTCGGGAACGGGCCAGTAAGGGGAGAAATGGCCTCTGCTGGCTTCAGCGAGCGCTGTAGCAGGATCGTGCTTTCAGGATTGGTGCTCCCTTCCCTTCTGCAGTGTCATCGGGGGCTTAGCTGCGGCTCAGCCTTCCACCAGCGAGCCCTGAGCCCCCCTCCTCGAGCTCCGGCGCAGCTCACGTCCTGCACAGGGGCTGGGGAATGGCGGGGCCCCTACGGTGTCGGGCCGCTTTGAGAGGCTTAGGATCTCTTAGGTGAAGAGGCTGGAGCTGCGCCCAAGGCGCTGGTGCAGCCACCTGACTCAGCACGCCGGCAGGGGAGGAAACGGGGGAGATGGGCACGTTCCACAAGCTGCTTTTTCCTCCCCGTGCCAAGCCATTGCCTTTGGGCTGGCTCGTGTCCTGCCTGCGTTGGCTCCAAGTAAATGTTAAACCCTTCGCTGGGCTGCCAAAGGGAAGAGAGTTTGGGGGGGAGGAAGAAAGGAGGGGCAGAGGCTGGATGGCATTTTCCTGGGGCTCCTGCACATCCCCAGGATACCGGTACCTGCCAGGAGGCCTCCGTGTGACTTGGAAAAATCACCGGTTTATTGTTGCCCTTTCCAGTTAAATTTCCTTCCCTCATCAAGCCTAGATAAAAGTCTGTTTGTTACAGCAGCGTGCTCTGGGCAATGCCAAAACAGGCACACCAGCCAGCAAAACCAAAAGATGCTGCTGGGTTAAGATCGCAGTGCCCTGTACGTGCCCAGCCCCGTGGCTGTACGAAGCCCTTTCACCACGTTCCTCCTCTGACTCGGCAATTCCCTGCCCTTGGAGGAGGAACTCGAAGCCTGGGCAGCCCTCGCGGCTGGCTGAAGCGCCACAAGATGACCGGGGCTTGTGCGAGAACCTTCCTTGTTCAGAAAGGTGAGTTCTTTGTTAGTTTTGAAAATGTAAATATGTATTTTGAATGTACAAAAGCTCAGAAAACAAGCAGGCACCGATATGAAATGCAGCAAGCTTTATTCGTACGGCAGCATACAATCCTCTTTGTTGCCAAACAAAGGTCATGGAAGGCCCAAATAACTCTTCAGTAGCTTTTTGCGAACTCATCTGTCATTTGCCTATGGAATTCATGCGACAGGGACTTGTGAAGAGATGATGAAAGTATCTGTAAATACCCTCAATTAAAATTCATTATTCCTGTGAAACTCTTGAAAAGCGATCTTTTCAAATATTCCAAAGTATTAAATCACATTTTCCACTCATTTCAAACATGAGCATCTCTTCCTACAGAAGGCTGAAGTTCAGTCAGAAGGCCACTGTCTTAGTGGCTTCTATGGAAACAAATGTTTGAAACACTGGGCGATGTTATCTTTTGGAAAAAGCACTTTTCAGCAAAGAAAAACCATGCACGAACTCAGGGCTTACTCGCATAGAGGGGAAATGCGTAACAAATGCTACCTACGTTGACAAAACTCGGAGAGATGGAGTTGGAAAAGCAGAAATGCCTTTCTGACTAAAATCCGAGTTACCAGTCGATGGTTTGTGCCGTTCCTGCCAAGCCCTCCTCTTTCCAACAGAAAGTCAAAGCCTTTTGATCCTGTGCACAGTCATTAAAACTTGCATTCACTGGGCTGCTGTTTTGTACTTCCAGGTATGATGCGCTTCCTCTGGCCTAATGCCGCCCATGATTTTCAGGGGGGACTCACGGTTTCACTTCCTCAGGGCTAGATGCAATCCTTGAATATCTTCCAGATTTTTGCTTGCTAATTTGTCTGTTGCGTTTCTGCTTTGCTGCATGCCATCTCGCGTTGCAAATGTCTTGTGCAAAGAACACTCTCTGAAGGAAACAGAATCTTGAACACCTTTGAAAATGCTGCCATTAAGATTCAGCAAATCCCTCAAATGTGACCGTGACGGGCACAAACTTGAGTTAAATACAGTTCTATGGGTGAGTATTTATTTCTTATGCCAGTACAGAATGAGCAAGCTTTGCATTTGATATGGCAGGTACGGCGCCAGCCAGGGTTACCTGTAGTTCTCATTTTCATGGCAGCAATTTGAAAGGGCGTTAACTGACGAGAAGAAAAAGTCACGAAAAGAGCAGCATTCCAACAAGCTCATCTCAGAAACTGCAACTTACATGCAAGTTGTGACTTAAACACACGTCGGGTTTTGTTCACATTGTAAAAAAATCTGTTCACGGCAAGGATGAGAGGGTTTAAATTTTTTCCCCAGTGTGCTGATAGGAAACTGAAGACAAGTGCCAGCAGTTGGTTAACCACCGACTGGCACGGTGGTGGAAATTTCTTCTTTCTCTTTGCAGTCAGAGCAATCCCAAGCTATCAAACTCCATTTGCCGGAATGAGATCTCGGAGAAGCTGGACAAAGGTTTGCCCCCGATGAGCAGCAGCACGTTGGTAGCGCTGCTGACTTCATCCACTCCAGTCACGCGCTGACAGTCGGTTCCCTCCCCTTCTCCCACAATCTGAGCAGCAGCAAAAGTCTCTTTTTCTGAAGAGACAGACAGAAGGAGAGACTTGTCCTTTGCCAAAATGCCCATTGCTCTGCTTGGGTCTAGTTCTGTCTCCAAAGTGGTTTGAAACGTGCAAAAGCCCCCTGGCTCCAGGGGCAAGCTGAAGGTTTTCATTTCAATGGCGTTGCTCTCCTCATTGCGGAACGGCTGGTACGCGGGCTGGTGACGGAAGGAGCTGCAAAAGCGAGCGTGCTTGGGGATGGCCACCAGCTGGTGATGGTCCTTCCGCTTACTCTTCCAGTGGCTGGGGAACGTATTAGTGAAATCTGAGGTAGTTTGGAAATCAGCACCAGTTCCTAAGATGCAGTGATACATTTTAGGAGAAACGTTTGCCTTTGTAGTACTACTTAGCTTCTTCCACGTCTGCGTATGGAAATAATACTTCCAGAGGTCGTCACTAGGACTGGAATTTGAAATCCCTCCACCAAAAATCAGCATAGAGTCTTTGAAGACTATTGCAGCGTGACCCACCACTGGAGGAGGTCCTTGGCTAAATGTGAGAGATACCAGCAGTTAAAGGGAGGCCAACAAGAAACTAATGCTCATTTTAGCCTGTTTTTCTTTTGACTCAAAGAATGACTGCTGCACAGCTGCACTGGGACATCGAAATTACACTGCTGACAGCTGCATCAGCGCCTCGCCAACAGCTCTTGCAAGCAAAGCCAGCTGGAGCCCCGGGGATGGCCGCAGTTCTGTGTCTTGGTCTGAACAGTTCCTACAATCGCCAAAAGGGCAACATCTCCCTCTCTGCCGGCACGCAGCATCAAATGGTAAGACTAATTCTCTCTTTCTGTGTTAATTTAGCGTAACAAATAGCACAGTTTACCTTGTTCTGATGTTGGACCAGCTGCTGCTCACAAAGTCCCACTTCCATAAGTCCTTCTGTTCACTCAGCCCCATCAGTCCTCCGAAGAGGTACATGCCTGCATGATAAACCACCGCTGAATGGCCGTGCCGAGGTCCTGGGCCAGCACCGTGAGGCGGGCTGGAGACACACAACCATTTTCTTGTATCTGAAAGCAAAACATTAATTTATAGATTTACTCTAGTATTTGAGAAGGGATTTATTTCAAGAACAAAGTAACTATTCTGTTGGAGAATAAGGGTTTCGGCTCTAAGTTTATTATAACAGAAGTTAACAGCTTAAATTCTGACACTGAAAAAATGCATTTAAAAATCAGTTTTGAAATAAACTTTGAATGGAAATGTCAGATGCTGTATAATAGATGCCATGGAAATTTTATTTACAGAGCAGTTTTTCCTACGGCTTTGTTAATTCATTAACTCTGACATGGAAAGATAATTTCCTGGCTGTAAGAGGGAAAATCAGTCCACAATAACATTCCTTCAGTTATGTCCGTGCTTATTCTCCCTGTGAGGGAACGAAGGATGAGATAAACCCATCACTCATTTCAAAATAGTGACTGAATGGCCACCAGATGACAAAAGCTATCCATTTAGGAAATCTCTGGGAATCACCTGGTTTGCAAGCACCAGATTAGCAAGGAATATGCTAATGAAACCATCTCCTGTCAGGTTTGGCTCCCCCTGGCCAGTTCTAGATCTGAGATTCAAAAGATGGCATTAATAGGCTGAAGTCAGGGTCTCTGCTGTATCTGAAAGTTTTTGGTAATCCTTGAAGAATTTAGTGAACAGTGAACAAAACATTCTCCCTGGTTTTCCGCTCTAGACTTGGCAAATACTGCAAAACTTCTTCCAGTATAATATGGTCTAATTCATTTCAGCTGGGTATTAATTTAACTGACAGAATTCATAATTAAATGCTGCCAAACAGAAGCCAAAACTAACATTTCTACTGATAAGAATTTTCTTAACAGAGTGAGCCATGCTTTCCTGTAGCAGTCATAATTTTACACTGGATCAAAACCTTATCGTGCTTTTTAACTTACCGAAATGTAAAGTCCAAAACTCTTGTGAAATGCCTCTGATGCCAAAGTATCCCCCGTAGATGCACATGCTGGAATCATACACTACTGCGCTGTGACCTTTTCTGTTAGTCGGTGCCAAGCTCTAAAACAGTTTAATAACAAGACAAAAATCTGTTAACAGATCAAGTCGTATCACTAGCAGCATCTACCTTGGGAATATGCCCAAGTCATGAAAACCCTTGCTTTGGGTTGTGTTAAACTTCCTTGAAAATACAGAATAAACCCACCTCTGCAGGCTTGCACAGACGCAAATACCAACCATTCTCAAATCTAATCCCTTTTTAAGTCCACCACAGTGTCACGTGCCTGCAGCCTCCCCCTCTCTGCACTCTCATCAGTGGCACTGTTTTCACAGCTGCTGCTAGGCGTGGTTTCAGGACATGTTGTAAATAAATTGGGCAGCTCTTGGGAACATAATGGGGGGATGTAGCCCTTTCCACATGGAGGAAACTCCAGTCCCAAGCCCCTCAGCAGAAAACCAGGGGATCCCCACGGCATCCGCAGCGGTTTTCAGCACTGCTGAGACTCATGGACCCAAACCTGGGCAGGCCCAGCTAAAGCCGAAACAAAATACAAGGCAAGTGTTTGGTTTTGTTCTTTACTTCTTCTTTGGCTGTTTCATCTCAAACAGCCTGGGGCTTTTTTGGGGGGGAGGAGGGCAGCCATGTTCTCTATATTCAGTTTAGGATAATTATAAGAAACCAATTACTCTGATATGTAAGGAGTTGATACATAATCCCATCATATTTGTTGTACGTAAACAAAATTTCATCGACCATGTAACACCTTTCCCCCCCGCCCCCCAAATGACCCTGCAGTCCCAAGCTTTCTCTTGATTCCTCCACCAAACACCGGTAACCACTGTAGTAACTGTGTCACATCTTAACAATTTTTTTGTGCAATTTCACAGTGTAGCAACACTGCGAGGATGAAGTTTCAATCCCAAAAAGTGAGTCAGTCTTTACATGCAGTGATATAAACCCAATCTCATAAGACCAAGATGTAAATGCTTCCACCAAGCTTTCATTTAGAAGAGGCAGTATCTTGGTGAGTCCACGTGTTCAGACTGAAGAAATGAAAAATGCTGCAGCATTTCGCATTTCAAATTCATTAGTGTGACTGCCAATCTGTGTTCACAACCCTACTTTTAAAAGCACAGACCTCACGTATGGTTGCAAATCTTCCATTTAAAATTAGTTTTCTTGGTAAGGATTTCAGAAAAACAGAAGCAGTAGTAGAGGAGAGGACTTAACTTCTTATATAGGACTTAAATTTTAAGAGCAGTATTTTTAAACACTGTTTTAAAGAAGGAAAAAGCCTTAGTTATTGGAAGTGCAAAGAAATAAAGTACAGCCACATGTCTCTGAAGAGATAAGATTGGAACTGTTTGGGGGAACATATTTCAAAGCAATCTGTTTAATCAACAAAGCAACAGGCATTTGATTCACACATTCACCACTTCCTGGCTCCTTACCTCAGTCTCTGCTGGTACGTTACGGCACTCTGTCCATCTTGCAGAACCTAGGGGATTGTTTTAATAAAGCGCAGTTTATATCCCTGACCACAAGAGGACACTCCTCCAACACTGATTTTTCAAACTGCAGATCTAATTTTCAAGTAAGTCTCATTCTGGTGTTTTCCACTGACAAGGATGAAGAAATCCGCTTCCCGCTAAGACAGGAGCACCAAGGGACTTATAGAAGACATAGCTTAAATAGTTTTCCTGTATCCTTATCTGATATCGAATCGCAGAGATTACCATCCCATCCCATCTCCTGTTTCCCAAGGCTGAATTTCACTGTGATTTTCAGCATTTTCCAAATTTGCAGAATCCCCAGGCTTACCAATGGATGTATGGCTCCTTCAATTTATTATGTAAACCTTACTGACAGCAGCCTTATTTTTCTTGTTCCTTTTCACAGATCCCTTAAAAATAGGCCTCAAATAACAGTCAAAAAAATCACTGGTCTGTGATCGCCATTAAGGAGCAGAAATATCACATACCCAGCATCAGAGGTAGAATGAGAAAGCAGTGCGAGCTTACAGCAATAAAAGCTAAACTTGCCAGGAAAGATTTTAAATAATGACTGTGAAAAAACTAGACATGCAGCGAATTTTAAATAACTAATTCCCAGTTTTCACTAGTAAGTATCGTGAGTAATAAGATGCTTTCTCCTATGAAATACATTTTATCTGAGGATCTTTGTTCTTTCAGCAGGTATTTCAGACAAGTGGTGGAAAACAAAGAAAGGATTAAAAAAACCCAAACCCATTGACTTAAGGTTACATAGTGAAATAGCAAGAGGCCGGGAAACTTAAATCTTGGTCCTGCCACAGGATTTACTAGCTTAAAAAGAAATCAATTTCTCTCTCTCCTCTCCATCTGACATCAAAATAAGCAGCCATTACAGTACACAGTATTTCCAACGGGAGAATATATAATGTATGACATTGCTATTAAATTCAAATGTTGCACTGCTTTTATTAGAATACACCCTTAAGAGATCCCAAATGTTTGTTCTTAGGGGAAAAAAAAAAAAAGACTGTGTTATGAAATGCTGATGTTAATTTCCCACCTCCTTATTTAATTATACTTGTTATTTCCTGTTCCATCATTGTGGTTACCAGCTTACGTATTTCTTCAGTAAAAATACAAAATGAGATATACTTTACTGATCTACTTTCATCCATAATAAAACAAAGAGCTTGATTTTAAAAATTTATGTAGTATAAGGAAAAAACTTTAAATATTATCTGTAATAATTATTGGGTTTTATCACCAAACAGTAAACTTCAGGGGAGGAATGGAAATTCTGAGACCTTAAAATACATAAAGCTTTCCCATAAAATACTTTCTAATTAAAGCAAGAGCTGATTCTTTGATAGCTTAACAGCCTAATTTTAGGGGGAAAATACGCACACAGTTTTACACACATTACTTCTTGTAAAGCCTAGGGAAGGCTGTGTTACAAGCAGCAGAAAACAGTTTGGTTTTTTTATTTATTAGTACCTAAGGACTTGGAACGTCCCATGGAAGAGACTGGCTATTGTGTATCATACCAATGTCATATATCCAGAGAGGAGTTTTTGCTTGTGTGAAAGCAGAATCCACCATCCCGCCAAAAATATACAGGGTGCCCTGCAAAATGCAAGAATATTTATCACTTACAGGTAGGCATAGAGCATAAAAATAATTCTTTAAACAATTCTGAAATGAAAAGGCTGCCATCACCAAATATAATTAATGATAATGCATATGATCATTTATTAACAATTCAAGAGGCAATCACAAAAAGCCACCAACTTTTAATCATGTCGTTACCCTCTCCCAGTAGGAAACCCCGATGAACGTTGCGCTGTTTTAACGGGGACAGCATTCCAGAACCACTCACTTCCTCGTCAGTCTGGGACAGCTCGAGGGATGCGGGTCGGGAGCTCTCAGAGGCATTGCTCAGGTAATATCAGGTTATGCATGTTTATGAAAAGAGTTCATTGCAGTGCAACTCCTGATATCCTAAATTCTGTTTTCCCCTCACAGTCAGAGCTGTAATTCTTATTTGCCTTCACTCCCCCGTCCCTCTTCTATGCAAGTTCTTAAATGAATGTTGTTATGCTGTAGCTTATCATGCAAATGAATTCAGAGCAACTGTTACAACTATACAACTAAGTCAAAGAATGTGCTGCCAAGGTCTTTATTTTGTATTACTATTATGTACTGAGCACTGACAGAGGAAATCGGGGAGCTGCACGCTGCTGCAAAGCTAAAATACCATCGCTTTATTCAGAAAGATTCCAAAACACTGGTACAGCTCCATCCAGAGTTGCACTGATGTAGAAGTATTTTCTGGGTAGAGTATTTCACTACATAATAATCTACGCTGGTTTATGTCATTGTATAATAGGAAATAAAATGTTAGGATATAGACAACGTAAGTCTTGGTGTACTACCTTATAAGCCACCATTGAATGTTCTTCCAGTTCTTCTGGACCATCTCTTGAGCAATCCAGCATTTCCCACTCACTTTTCTCTATAAACCAAAGCTGAAGTTAAGACAGCGGCGCACTCGATACATAAACATTAGGGGAAAGGTAAAAATAGTGGCTTTGAATTTGGCTGTGCTGCCAGTCAATGAGGGAAAATGAAGCATTTTGTCATCTCTCTCTCTGTTAGATCAGAAATCTGAGGTACTTCCCCCAAAATTAAATATGTGCATTTTTCTACTTAGCAAACTTAACTGTAATAAAAATTGATCTCATTACTGCTTTTATTTTAATGCTATACTGTTACCTACATCAACCCCCAACTATTCCATGAGCGTGAACTCCAGCACAATTCTATGTTTTATTCCAGTAACAACCATTGAACAGGGAACGCCATACATTAAGTCAAACAACACCAAGTGTCATGTTTGATAATTCATTATTAATACAATCTTGCAAGGTATTGTATTCATGTGTTCCCTTTGTGCACTTTTACCCACACAAACTATTCCCGTGTTAAAGAGTCAATAAAGCTATGTCTTTGCTACCACTTGCTAGAACTAGGATATTTTAAATGACTCAGTATTTCTGGTAAAAAAAAAAAAAAAAAAAAAAAGGAACTGAACTGAAATCTGAACTCTTGGGACACCTGCAACAGGAACAAACACACACCATTTGTCCAGTGAACAAAATGCAGTTTATCCATCATTTTGATGGAGAGACTTTAAATGGGGATAATCTGAGTATCCCCAATTTCATAGTGGCTGAATGTAGAATCTCTTTAATCCTGATACACAAGCGAATGAGCAAACTTACCTATATTGTATCGCCAAAAATCCCTAAGACTGGTGGTATTCCGCCCTCCATAGAGATAAACAAATCCTCTGCAAATAGCACAAGCATGTTTATATCGATCGCAGGGAGAGGGCTTCTTTTGGGGTGCTGATTTCCAATCACAGTGTGCAGTTTTTCCTTTCATGCTGACAATTAGGATCTTATCGAAGTATCAACTTGCAAAGGACAGCCATGTCAGGGCAGGGTCCCAAAACATCAGGGACAGGGCTTAAACCCTGCTTGGTCTGTAAAAAGACAAAAAAAATAGCTTCAGGTTAAAAAAAAGGGGAAAAAAAAAAAAAGAAAAAAAGAAAAGTCTCTGCCTCATGATAAAAAGTTACCATGTTTTCTTTTCATTCCCATCAAAAACAACCTGGCAATTTTGGCCATCTGTGGTAATAGGCTAACTGAAGTAAAGCATGTGAAACGCTGACTGTCAGAGTCTTCTATCAGCGAGACTGGGACAGGAACGTTCCTGGAGCTGAAAGTTTTCCGCAGGGTATCGGCAAACTGAAGTTTTTGCAGTAAACTGCAATACCCTACATTTGTGATACTGTAGAAACCAAGGCTTGGTGTTTTTTCACTCAAAAAAGTACTTAAACCTGTACTTAAAATAAAATTCAGAAAGAATGAATATTACAGATGAAAGTAATGTGTTAGCAGTTGTCCAGAATTTATTTAGGCTTTCATCTGTAAAGCAGCTGAAATAAGGATGCGTCTGGAAAAAATGACACTATCCTTTCATTTGCCACAAGATGACACTGTGTTCTGTGAAGACAGAGGTACCAGGGGCGATACAAAGTGCTTTTTGTAGCATGCATATTATCCCAGGTCCTTGGATTTTCCGGGGTATCGCCACAGCTACTGTCCTAAAACTGTAGCCCAGTATCTCTCTGACATTACTGACCTCTCTTTCTGTTAAATGTATAGGAAGTTAGGACACAGGCTGTATAAAATATGAACAGCTTAACTGTTACTTTGATTCCTGAAATGAAAATAGACACAGTGAGACAACATGCTACAGTGAGACGCTTCAAATACTAAATTCCCACTGTCAATAACCAAAGGAAGTGACCCAGGAAGTGTTTACAAGATTAATCCTGCATCACTCACTTCAGGTGCTTACAGAGGAGTCCAGAGGACATTGCACGTAATTTGAGGCAAAGCACAGATTACAGTAAAACAAGCTACAGAAGATACAGTCCCATTTCATATTTATATTTATATTTATATAGAATCATAGAATCGTTTGGTTGGAAAAGCCCTTTAAGATCATTGAGCCCAACCATACCTGTCCACTACTAAACCATGTCCCTAAGCACCTCGTCTACCCATCTTTTGAATACCTCCAGGGATGGGGACTCGACCACTTCCCTGGGCACGCCGTTCCAGCGCCTGATAACCAACCCTTTAATTGAAAACATTTTTCCTAATGTCTAACCTAAACCTGCCCTGGTGCAACTTCAGACCATTCCCCCTCGTCCTATCACCCATTACCAGGGAGAAGAGGCCGACCCCCACCTCACTACAGCCTCCTGTCAGGCAGTTGTAGAGGGTGATCAGGTCTCCCCTCAGCCTCCTCTTCTCCAGGCTAAACAACCCCAGTTCCCTCAGCCGCTCCTCATCAGACTTGTGCTCCAGACCCCTCAAAATATTAATATGAAATATATTTCATATTAATATGAAATGCAGGTATCTAATTTAATCTTCCGATTTATCTCTAAAATTTACCATTTGTAAGACTGGAATATATTCAGTGACAGAAACATGCTAGAGACTCTCTTGCAGCTTATTCTGGCAATCCTAGCTATTCAAACTGTGTTAATCTCTTATGCAAACCAGTATTGTAAGCTATTACTGCAGAAAACTGAAGTACATTCTTCTTATGTTTTGTCAGAAAGAATACGAGATTGGCAGCTTTTACAAAGGTGTGAGTTTCTCTTTTCCAGGGAAATTAGCAGCTAAGGAGTAGTGATGCATTCCAGGCGTGTAAATCCGTAATACTTTATGGCGTGCCATTGAAAGGGAAAAGCAGATGAAGTCACAAAACACGGATTCTCTCCCTAACTCTGCCAAAGCTTCTGTGTAACCATAGCCAATTCACCTATTTAATTCCACAGCTAAATGAGGACAAAGATACCTCCTTAGCAAAACACTTCAAATTTGCTGATGCAGTGCTGTATGTGAGTGCCTAGGTATTACTACTGTTGATATAAGTTAATGGGAAAAAGGTGATAGGCCTCTATTAATACTTTACAAAGGTAAAATAGGCTTGTGCCCTTGAGTTTTGGGGTTCTTTTCCCCAGCTATAAAACTGGTTATTCCTCTTCCTACATATTTCTGTTTGTTATTCTTCCTACAAACCTTGCCTTAGCAATGAAATGCTGTCCGCATGTTTATCTACCCCAGCTGAACTCTGCAGGCTGGCAGGCCGGGGTAACAAAAGGCCAATCTGGGATTAAGGGAATGGGCGTCTCTGCCCAGTCCCACCTTCTGAGCATCAGCTGACCCTTGGGAATCACGGCCGTTTACTCTCTTTAAAGTAAAGCATTCCTGGAAGCAGACCTACAATCACTTAAGCAGGTCAGTTAGCAAACTGCTTCATTTCAGAGTGTGGGGGGAAACACACGTTCAAAGTTAATCTTGAATCTTGCCTTTTATCATTGGTATTTTACATTGCGCACCTGACTCCTGGATTGCCTTTCTGTAGAACCAGACTCACCAAAGTTCATCCACCGTCTACCTTAACAGGCCTGATTCCAAAGAAAAACTGCTACTCTTCTGAGAACAATGTCACCGAGCAATATCCTGTGTCACGCAACACCGACCTCAGCTCCAGCTTGGTACAAACCAGATCAATTATCCAATAGGAAGCTCTAACTTCAGCAGAATTTCCACAAAAATACCCCAAAAGACTACTCGGAACATTTTTATCCAACTTTTTTTTTCTTTTTTTTTTTTTTTTTCTTCCAAAACAGCTGTAGCACACAAAAAAATGGCTGCTGCTCTCCAAACTCTTCTGCCATTTCATTCTAAAAATAGCTCCAGTGCAATCAATCCCAATTGTTAAACGGCTGGATGGAGGAGCTGTGAGACAAGGACCTAAAGAGCTGCAATTAGCCTGGTAACTATAGCACAGAGTGCTTATCAATTAATGGCGCCACGCTACTGTTTCATAATACAAATAATTCAGGAAATGTAGAAAGACAGGAATTACTTCAGGAAATGTAGTTTATATGTTCATTATGTAATTATTTATATTTCCATTAGATGTGGTTTCTCAGACAAATGATTTATTTATTTAAAGTATTACTTAAATAGATCTTCATTAAAGCCTTTTTCTACCTCGGTCCCCTGATTCATTTCCATCTGTTTTCAATATACTCAGAAAAGTTTCAGATTTCAGAGGACTGAGCCTTTAGAAATATAATGAGATATGAAACCACTCGTATTGGGGGGGAAAAAAGTAGGTGAATCTTTTTTTGTTTGTTTGTTTTATTAATGACCCAGTCTTCTGAGCTCACCCCTTGAGCCATGACCTGCAGAACACTATTTTCTTATTAGGCAACTTGATGTTTTACTGCTCCTCAAAAATAATAACAGATCTTCCTGATTCTCCTTACCTTACAAACCTTTGCTTTAGTGGTGGGTTTAGTGTAATGTGTGTTCCCACGGGACTGCCTGCATCAACATGGAGAAAACTTTGACCAAAAACTTGCAGGGCAGTTACGAATTACTACTTTAAAAATAAATCCACTTTGTTTAGAATAGTTTAGAGGGCAGGGCTTTTTTCAGTGTATCATGTTCACTTGCAATGCTTTACTATGTATGACAGATTTTTAGTATCCTCAGGTTTGATATTTTATTATTTCCTAAATTCAAGTTACTAGGAACTGTTTCTAGAGTGAAGGGGGGTTTGTTTGTTTGTTTGTTTGCAAAATACAGGAATTAATTTTCAGAGATGCTCAGCTTCAGAATTTCAGCCTGAAAGTCCAGAATGACTTTGGGAATACAGTGTATGTGTAATATTTCTGCATTATTAGAATTCTGAATTGAAATAAGGGCCTTGTTTTGCTACGTGTTGTAAACATACAGTTACTACATGACTGAGCTTACAGCTGAAGTAGTCAAGACAAAGGGATGGAGATGGAGAATGGTGGCATTTGTTCTTACAGGGGGAGCTGAAGGACAGGAAGGGGATTTGTAAAATGACAAATCAAAGCAGGGGGCACAGCTCCATCAGGATTTCAGGGTTCAGAAAAATGACAGGTACTTCCAAGTAAAACAACACCTCTATTGTCTTTATAAAGCTTAGAGCAGACATACTGAAAATTTACAGAAAATCTGAAAGGCTTTTATATTAAATGACGCTTAATTGAATTTTTACAAGTTTAGGGTAGCATTCTTAAACATTATCATTGTTATATTTCCGTGCTTCACAATGCTTTCTGTGGTGAACAGGTACTTCAAAGGAGGCAATTCTTCTAAACAGTCACGTATAATTACAGTTTCTATATACTGTAAACTTATATAAGTAACTGCTACTTCTGGAGAGTGCAGTCCTAGACCATGGAGGGCATTGGCACCTTTACTGCAAAGCAGATGAGAGCATCACGAACCTCTCCTTGTGAAGAGCCGTCTGCCTGTTTCTGGAGCTCTGCAGGTAAGGTATTGTGTTTCTTTAATTCAGAGCACATTAATATTAAAGCTCTAATTTTGCAATTTCAGAATAAATCCATATGTTTGCATATAACCACAAAATTGAATTTTGCAAATTGACATTATTAATATATTCTTTTGGTTTTTTTCCAGAAGCTTTCACCCAGAAAAGACATCCTTTATGTTCATTACTGTGTAGCACTACTTGTTCTTAAGTAGTAATAAATACAAGAATTTAATAAATAAAGAAGTATATCCATTTATATTTTCTATGTGCTAGGTATATTTCTCATTTTTAAGTAAACAAATGCATCTTGGTTTGGGATAATTTGTTTCCCAAATATGGGTGGGGGGAGGTGTCTGGGAAAAAGAAATTCAGTACTGAAAATATTTCTGAGATTGTTACATCTTTATATAAAACTCTAATAGATGAATCAGGAAATCACCTTTGTCACTGTATTGAGATAAGTATTACAGTACAGACAAAAGTAAATTCATCTATACTACCTTACTTTCACGGCTTATTTTTTTTGGTAAATTAAAATTTCAGTTTTTGTTTGATATTTGGTGGGGCTTTTTGTTGTTTGGGTTTTTTTGTTCGGCTTTTTTTTTTCTTAAGAACGGGGCTCTTTCATTTTAAAAAAATATATAGTTTTGAGTAGTAGATCTCCCAAGGTAATCTGTTAATTCTATGATTCTGTGATTCAAATTATGACTTCCAGAACTGCAATTAATCATCTGACTGCAACCCAGTTTTGAACGAAGTTTCTGAGAGCTTCCTGAAATGCCCATCTGTAGGTGGCACAAGTACAGCACATTATGGACATATAAATCCAGTGCACCAGCCATGCCTCATCAAAAAGTTTATGCTGATGATCAATGTGAGCGTGCATGGGGTTTATTTATTTTTGGTCCTTAACAGAATATTTACTACAGAAATCTAATGTGCTTTTCAAATCTTATTTAAGGTCATGTCACTGACTCCATCCATAGGCATGTCAAGAGCTCATTCTCTGTTGTGGTCCTACCATATAATTGGGATAGACGCCATGACCGTAAAGTGTCCCTGCAGCAAGAGTGCCCTTTGGACGTTACCTGAAACCAACAGGTAATTTTTCAAGTTCTCGACATGGCAGAGGGAGGAAATACAGTTCCTGGTCTTCATGCTTCAAGATAAAAGAAATTACAAACTCCCACCATGTTCACAAGGCAGTCTAAGATGTATTTGGCCTTTTACCCTTTCCTTGGAAGTAATTTGTACTGTCACCACTGGAAACAGGTCATTCCAATACATGGGTCATCACCCCTTCCCCCCAGAAATAGCAGTTTTCAGTGTTCCTTGAAGGCATAATTTTGGGGATCTCACAGAAACTTACTAGTTGGATTCTTTCAAGATACAGTAGGTGTCTTGAGACTCTGTAATAAATCTGTACTTAGGTGTGACTGAATGCATCTTCTTGACAGCTCATGACCTGCTGTTGAAGCAACTTCAGAATACTTTATTTCCTAAGGGAGACCCTACTCGTGCTAATTCACAAAATTTTCAAGGTTAGGAAGAAAGACTGATTGACAAAGGAGTCACTGGCTGCCCAGCCTGCCTACTCTCCTCAGGCGTGGATTAAGAGTGCTATGGTATATACTTTACAGCTGAGAGTGTATCAGTGAAAAGCTATTATCTTCCATAGAAAAAAAAGTATCCACTGAATTTTACTTGTTGTTTTTTATATTCCCTGACTGAGGAAAAGGAACATCTAATAAAACAGCCACGCTTACAACTTAATGCCACACTTCATGGAAGATAGACAATGTGTTTTTCTTGTCCCCAAGACATTCTGCCTTTAGATGAACATGGAGCAATGGGGTAGAGAAGACATACAGGTTATGAGCTGTAGCTTCAAGAAATATGAGGGAGGAAAGAGAGGGCATTTGGCAATGAGAATAACAAAATGTTCCAGCTGGCAAATGTTAAAACATCCAGATATCATGTTAGAATCAGTATGAATTTAGATTGCACAGTATGGGAGAAGTCATGAGAGACTCGCGTGAGAAAGAATCAGATGGCACAACTGGAAAGACTGTCAGTAATGACTGGAGGAAAAACTGAGTACAAAAAGGATCTTTTATAGGGAAGATGAATTTACACAGTCAGGTGAAAGATGGTTGCATAAAAACAGATGATACAATAGCATAGCTGGAATAGATTGCATGGAGAGGAATAGTTGGATTTTAGTCTGGCAAGGAAAACAAAGGTGTCAGGCGGGCAAACAGTAATAATAACCGTGATGGTTCACAATAACCTTGATGCCAACAGTTACTGGGCTGCACCAGCAAATGGAAAAAAACCAAACCCACATAATTTCAATATATAAAGGAGACAGAAAGCATATGAGTAACTTTAGACATACACGTTGTCGCTCCAAATTCAAATGGAATTACTCATGTGAATAAAACCAGTGATATGTATGAGCCTGCACAATGTAGCCTAGATACCAGAGCAAAAGAAGGACCAACTCTTTTGTTAGAAGCCTGAAAAAAATGTTTTGCAAGCTGTTTTCATATTCAGACTCCGAATGACAGGGTCCATTTTTGACTGGAGCCTGGCTTTCTGAAAAATCCTCACTCCCAGCTAACGTGGTCCAGTATTCATCCCAAGCCAGATGCACTTTGGCTTGGGTTTTGGATGGTTGCATTTCTTTGTCTTTTGCTCGATAGAAGGCATTTTGTTGCTTTATGCTCTTTGATTGTGGAAAAGGGAACGAGCAAAAGGAGGGTGGTGAATCTCCTAACTTGGAAGCGAGGAAACAAGAGCTCTGGCTGGCCCTACCGCAGACCTCCTGCGCAGCATCACAGAAGTCACAGGTCCCCTTTCCCCAGCGATCTCCTGGCTGCAAAGCAGTGACACCACTTCCTTCCTTTTACGCGCTTTGTTTCGTTTCGTACCTTTGGACGAAAGCAACTTTGTGTACAACGGCACACTGCTGTACGACAGTACAACTGTGTGTACTGAAACGTCAGCTGCGCGTTCCCTGTGATACTCTGCATGCCTTAGAGCTGGTCCGTGCTCTCGCCACCTTCCCTCTGCTCTCCCAGCAGCAGTGATGGCTTCTCCTCGGCGGGCGCTGGGGCCCACCGCCCCCCTTGCTGCGCCCCTGCCCGGGGCAGGCCTCACCTCTGCATCGCCCCCTCCTCTCCGGGTGCTGCTGCTCGCTGCCTCAGCCGGGGTTTGGTCCTGACGGGACACGCAGAAAAAAAGAAAAAGAGAGGAAGAATAAGAGCCTCGTGAGCCTGCGCTTGGCCAGGAGTACGCCCAGCCCGGCTGCGCCCACTGCCTCCCCTCAGCTTTGCCCTCACAGGGGGACACCGTACCCCGCAGCCCGGGCACCAAACGGGGGCACGCACACACCCAGCC